AGGTGACTAATGTCCACTTATAAATCCGACTCTTCAAAAGAGTGTCTTTTCTATGAACTCGCCATTTTTATACTAGATTTCTGAGTACTTTCAGAACATCACTGTTAAAATGTCACTGTACTCCCAGGAATGCAATGACACAGTCTATCATTGTCCTCTCTGACACAGCACAGTGGCTTTGAAGAAGAAACCAGGCCCTGAGGGAACGGAGCACACACAGCTGAGTGAAGGAAGTCATCCCTGGCCAGGGCTAGACGCAGCTGTGAGAAATTGGAATCGAGAGTGCTGGTGTAGTTATGGTGATCTGAGGGGAGGGCAGGTCTGCTGGGTGTTTGGGGGGTGACACCATACAGGAGAGGGGTCCTGGAAGGGGAAGCTAGGAACCCACACGGTGATATGTAGATTACTTGGTTGTTCTGGAGCCATCGCTTTCATCTGGCTATGCTGATGGAAGTGGCACAGAGCTGCGTCTAGACTCTAGACTAGGGGTGTCGAACTCAATCAGAGAAGGGGCCAAAATCTAAAATCCAGCCTAAATCGCAGGCCGAATGGTTTACTGAACAGTCATAAACTGTCATTGTGATGGAAACACAGTGGAGTGCAGTGATGACAGCGCAGTGCGGGCCACATTGCAAGGCCTGGCGGGACGGATTTGGCCCGCGGGCCTTGTGTTTGACACATGTGGTAGAGGAAGCACATTCCAGCTGCAAGTGCAGAGGTTTCAGGGTCAAACAGGCCTGGATTCAAATATAATTCTATCAGCATGTATGGCTTTGGGTAAGTCATCAAACACTTAGTTTCCTGCATCTATAAAATGTAGAACTCAAACTATTAAACTAGAAAACAAAGTGCCTCATGTTATGCATGTGGCAGCTATATGCATATCTGATAGATATGCACAAATATGCAATAGCTAGTGGAAGCGTATATGTGCATTGTACACACACATATGTCTGTATGTAGATGTATTCATGGGTCTACTATAGTGCTCTTTCTCCTTTGTTATGTTACTCCCACAAGAAACTTGCCATATATTTTCTATTTTACATTTAAATTTCCTTTTATCCTATAGAAACATGCTTTTACCAAATTTTCACGTAATTTTCTTATTAAACAATGGTGTTGGGCTGCTTTATCTTAGGTAAATTTGCAGAATTACTAACTTGGAGAATTCTAATCATTAGCTACCTAAGAAAACAGAATGTTTACCACATGATAGAACAGATTCAGGCAATATGTCACTAATTTTCTTTAGCAAGAAAGTGAGTATTGCTCCTAATGAATAATATTAACAGTGTTCTTTTTGGGCACCACTACTATGCAGTAGTCACCTATGGTAATCATTATTTGAACTCATGACAAAGCTGGGTTAAGAATTGGAGGCAGGTCTTCTGTGTATTCAAATGGTTTAACCTGAACCATAGTATAGGTATGTGCCTTGTCAAATGACTAACATGATTATTCTAATCTAGCAGATTATATAAGGTATCCATGGCGCTAGAACCTCATGCCTTACCTTCTCTGCCCCCCACACTTTTGACAGATGTCAAGACAGGATCTTTCTTATCACAGTTCTCTACTATGTCTACTGACTTTTTCAAGACCTCTCAGTGGCCAGAGTACTTTTCTTCAATAACATTCCTTCAGAGTTTGAGCTACAATGATTCGAGATATGGCTACATCTAGTATTTTTAATTCTGTGATATGGAATTTATACGAGGGCTGCGTAACCTACAAAAACCATAGCAACAATGGAATAAAGTTTATTCAATAAACAAATCTTTCAAAAAAATCCTTCGAAGCTGCCCTACTGTTGTCACTTTAACATTCAAAATAGTACTTACTATGGCCCTCAAGGCTCACTGTACAGTCTGGCCCATGGTGTTCTCTTCAATGCAAAAACCCTCATTTCTTTTCCCCACTCCCTTTTTGATTCAGCCACACTGAACTTTCTGAGAGAATCTTCTCCCTGACCCAGACCTTCCCACCAGCTGTGTGCTCTCTCTAGTCCACCACACCACCTCCCTGCCCACACTATTTCTTACTAAATTTTGTTCAATCTCAGCTTAAGCCTCATTTTCTTAGTTTTTCCTGAGCACATAGACTCAAGGCTTCTTAGCAGCCTAGACTTCTTTATGGCATATTTCACAAATGTATTTATATAATTAAGTAATCAGCTGGTTAGTATTTCTCTCCTGCATTTAAAGAAAGGCCCCAGGACCATGTCTATCTTATTCAATGTTAGACTTAGCATGGTGTCTTGCTAAGTGTAGTATTGAATTAACTTTTTAACTCACTTGAAAAAATAACTCATTAACTTCTTATTCGGTTGAGCATTGTGCATAATAATACCTTTATGACGAGGCTTTCAAGGGCTCATTTTTTTGTGTGTGTGTTGCCATACATATAGAACAAAACATAGTATATCCTGGGTTCCCCTGAAAGCATAGCCTGAGACAGAGGCTTTCTTAAAGGGCCACTGATCGTAAGAAGCAGGAGTAAAGAACCAGAGAATGATTGCTACAGATGAATTGTTCCCCTCAAAATTTATATGTTGAAGCCCTAGCTTCCATTGCAACTCTGGAGATAGAGTCTTTAGGAGGTAATCAAGGTTAAATGAAGGTAGAAGAATATGCTCCAAATCTGAGAAATGATCTATATCCTATATAATAAAGAGCTAATATGCTAATTAGGCTGAACAGCCAAACGACCTTCAGGATGACTTTCCAGAGGAAGCCAGGCTGGGTGGACCAGCCAAAGCTGCTAGGGGCTGTGAGGGCCAGCTGAGGCAGCTGGTGCTACAAGGGCCGAGCCCCTCGCATGAATTTCATGCATAGGGCCTCTAGTCTACATTATAAAAGGCCAGGGGCCATTATGACCTAAATGACCAGATGGATGACTAGTCACCAAGAAGTGTATGGAACACCTCTCAGTCCCTCCACCATGGCTCACAAAGACTCCTGTCTCAGCAAGGCTGGTGGCTGGAGGGGGGCGGGGAGGAGGGGCGGGCACAATGAGCTCATTAGCCTCCAGCTGGGACTGAGATGGAGGCCTAATGACTTTGCAGCTGCTATGGTGGCTGCAGATCAGGCCTGGAGAGAGGCTGAGAGAGAGAGACAGAGAGAGAGAGAGAGAGAGAGAGAGAGAGAGAGAGAGAGAGAGAGAGAGAGAGAAAGAGAGAGAGAGAAAGCCTGCTCAGCAGCTATTGCAGCTGCTGGTAAGGCCCAGAGAAAGAGAGGCAAGGTCTGATCTGCAGCTGCCACAGAGGCTGCAGATCAGGCCCAGAGAGAGGCATGGAGAGAGAGGCCCAGAAATAGGCCTGGAGATGCTGACTGGCATAGAAACTGACCAATCAGAACCAAATCTGGATGAACTGCGAGAAGCCAATGGCTGCCTAGGAGGCAGAGCTTTTGACGCTGACTGGCATAGAAACCGACCAATCATAACCTAATCTGGGTGAACTGCAAAGGCAGAACCCAAGGTGGAGGTTGAGGAGGGGTTTTAAGGGTAACAGCTGTTTGGTATAAGGTGTAAGAAAGCGGTTCAAGTTTTCAATGACCGGTTTGGCAGTATAGTGCATATGGCTGGCTATCAGTCTGGATATAGGGATTATGTATTTTTGTCTGCCAAGAGCATCTCCTCCTGCTGAAAAGTCTTCCCCTCCCATTTAGGCAACTCTATCCTATATTATCTATCTATACTAATAAAAGGGTAATATGCTAATTAGACCAGGTCAACCAGCTATCTTCTGGATTTCTGACTTCCTTCAGAACAAAGCCATGGTGGTGGGGGCTGAGGCAGAGGCAGTTAGGGACAATCAGGCTGGCAGGGGAGGGAAGTAGGGGCTGAGATCAGGCAGCAGGGGGTTAGGGGCAATCAGACCTGCAGGGGAGGGCAGTTGGGGGTGAGATTACACCGGCAGGGGAGGGCTTTGGGGGAAATCAGGCAGGCAGGCAGAGGTGATTAGGGGCAATCATGCAGGTGGGTAGAGTGGTTAGGGTCAATCAGGCAGGCAGACAGGTGAACAATTAGGAGCCAGTGGTCCCAGATTGCAAGAGGGATGTTCGATTGGAGAGGGTGCAGGCTGGGCTGTGGGAACTCGCACCCCATGCAAGAATTTCATGCACCAGGTCTCTAGTATATGTATGTGTGTGTGTGTGTGTGTGTGTATACATATATATATATGAGCCTAAGTGACCATAATAACTGGCCAACCAGTTGCTATAATGAAGCAGTGACCACCAGGGGGCAGATGCTCAATGCAGGAGTTGCACCCTGGTGGTCAGTGCGCTCCCAAAGCCAACCTCCTGTGGTTGGCCAACCTCTTGCAGTCTTTCACCCCAGCTGGCAGGCCTCAATTTGCCTGATGGACTTAGGGGAGTGGGCCTACGTTGGCAGTCAGACCTCCTTAGCACTACTGCAGAGGTAGGAGAGGCTCCTGCCACCACCTCTGTGCTCACCAGCCATGAGCCCAGCTCTGGCTGAGTGGCACTCCCCCTGTGGGAGTGCACTGACCACCAGGGGATAGCTCCTGCATTGAGATCTGCCCCCTAGTGGTCAGTGTGTGTTACAAAGACCAGTAGGTCTGCCATTCAGTCAATTTGCATATAAGGCTTTTATTGTATAGGATGTAAGTAAATTATAATAATACATTTGGGTGTGTTTAGCATTTTTCCACTTGACTTATAGTTTAGAGGCAAATAGTCCTTTTAAAATCTTAGAAGGCATCCTGGCTTAAAAGGCCCTCAAAGGCCTGGTTCTAAAATACAATTCCCTGGGACAGAAAGGGAATGACCTATTTCTGTGGTCTAGGGCCCTGGCTATATATCTATCCAACTTTCTGGACATGGTCTTTCCTAGAATAATTTAGGATAAACTAACCCCTTATCTCTTAGTTGGAGGAAGGCCATGGCTAGAAAAAGAAGGACCCATTGCACATTTGTTTTTATTCTGGTGACAAAAAGATACTTTTCACTAACTGCACCATTTTACTTTTTCAGGTGTAACTGTGTGGAGCCCCACAATCCCAGCAACGATACGCTAAAGGAATGGAGCGAGTCCAATATTTCTGTGTCTGACATAATTTGGGAGAACCTAACTGTGTCAGTAAGTGATACATTGAAAAAAATGAGTCATATATTGAATTGTATTATTGTTTGGTGGCTTTTGTTGACATTGTGAATGAATTATCACTACTAAGGTAACTTTTTTTGAGTGCGTACTGCTATAAAAGAGATAGTTTTTTGTTTGTTTTTCTGGGGGTTTCTTTCATTATGAACTATATCTAATACCTAGTAGGCCTGCATTGCTCTAAAAGCACACATATACAACATAATGTGACTAGACCCATGGTAAGCAAGCTGCAGTTCACCAGCCACCTGTGGCTCTTTGGCCTCTTGAGTGTGGCTCTTCCACAAAATACCATGGTCTGGGTGAGTCTATTTTGAAGAAGTGGCATTAGAAGAAGTTTAAGTTTTAAAAATTTGGCTCTCAAAAGAAATTTCAATCATTGCACTGTTGATATTTGGCTCTGTTGACTAATGAGCTTGCCGACTACTGGACTAGACTGCCTGAAAGCATGTTAAATAACAATGGTCTTGACCTAAATGAAGCCATATGGCAGCACTAAGTGGTCCTTCTGTGTAAAAAAAACCAGATGCTTTTACTTTACTCTGTAGTACTGTTCCAGCTATTCAGAATATGCTGAGGGTAAGGGGCTGCTTGTTATTATTTTAGTGTAAATATTTTTATTCTAAAGAAAACATTTTAATTCTAAAGAATCAGTCTAAATATTTTAATTCCGAAGAAAACATATTTTTATTATAAAGAAAACATTTATTCTGAAGAGAACAAAAGACAGTTTATTAACAAAATTCTGGCACCTCCCTCATGAAGGGATTTGTTGTTTCCATTTTCTTCTGATCTCCCACTAAAGGAAGAGGATGGCATTTTTATTTTAAATCCATACCTTTTTTCCTTTTTTTATTGTTTAAAGTATTACAAATAGCAAATATCAAAAAATAAGAATAACTGATAATAAAAATCTAATTCTCCAACCTGAAGAATTTGAAAGAGAGCAACAAGAAAAGCTCAGAGTGAGCAGAAGGAAGGAAATATTAAATCCCATACCTTTTAAAAACTTTTTTCTTATTTCTGCTTAGTGATTCCTCTCTCACATAGCTGTTTTTCCATTCTGCTTAACCTATCATTATGTTCGTGTACTTATTTTTTCATCTGTATTTCATCCTTCACTTCTGTTTTGTCGAATCTCATAACTGGAAAAATTGAAAATGTTCTGCTTCAAATAAATATTTTAAAAAATCCGAGTCTTCCTAATTTCTTTTTTACTTCCCTCAGTTACAAATAGGATGATCCAAAGCTCTGTATAAGCGCAAAACCATTTTAGCCATCAGCATAAAACTATATGAATTCAGTTCATTTTATGAAACACATATCATTTTAGTAAGCAAGCCAGTTAATGGAACAAATAAAAAACTTTTTTGTTGTACAAATTTATAAAAATCTAAATGTGTTTTTTTAAATTGAGGTATAATTGACAAGCAGCATTATATTAGTTTCAGGTGTACAATATACCGATTCAATATTTGTATATATTCTGAAGTGACATCCACAATAAGTTTTTGTAACATTCGTCACCACACATAGTTACAGAATTTTTTTCTTATGATGAGTACTTTTAAGGTCTCCTCTCTTAATGAATTTTAAATATAAACATGAATTTTGTAAGAGCCATTTGACCTATTGCCTATTTTGCCAATTTTCCCATTAAATGTTTTCTTTAGAATAAAAATCAAATTTCTTACCCTCTGTATAAAATTCAATCTTGACCTATATTTTACTACCTTTATTCTTTTCTTCATCATTTTCTCTAGAATAAGCCTTTACTTTCTCTTGTTTTTTTCTTTTATAGTTAACATTTATTACGCCCTACTTTTTTCCCTAGAAAAATAATATTACACGGTTATCCATTTATTGAATAACCATTATTATCTATATCATGGTTGATACATCTGACAGTGTATGTTCAAACTCATTTTTTTTCTTTTGGTAAACTATAAGGATTGTTATGTCTAAAGAATCTCTTGCTTGTGTTCCTCACCATGTGTTCTCTTCAATGCAGAAACCCCAATAATCCCATCTCTAAATTATTTAGCATGATCATTTACTCTATGTGTTTTATATTGTCTGAATAATTTAATGCTAAATAACAATATTCTGTATAGCTGCAAATCCTGAGTAATAACCTTCTAAAAAATTCACAGAACAATTGATCTGGTTTGCCGTCAGTTAATTTTAGATATTAGAACTTTTAGAGTCAAGCAGAGTATAGTGAACAGTATTTTGCCATCAAAGCATAACCAGCATTTTGTTGTTGTTTTCAAAGTTCTGGCATAAATTTTTATTATTATTTGTCATTCATTAAAAGCTGCTTTTGAAATTGAGTAATTGCTAATCTTGACCAAAAATAACCTTTACCACCAAAGGGAATGCTACATATTGAAAAAAAAATTGTAATTTTTAAGTTAATGAAAACCATTGAAATTTTTTTTTCTTAATTGTTATACCAGCGTTTTTTTTTAAAGCATAATCACAAATTAGTAAAATCAGTTTACTAATAAAGCTTTGTGCTAATGGCTTTTATAACTACTTTGTTAAAATAATAATATAGCATTTACTTTATATGTTGTTCATATGACAGATTTTTTAAAAATTATATTTTTACATACCTCACAAATTATAATTTTACATTGCGAATTCACAAAGGGCAAAGAACTTTAGCTTTCTGAGATTTTCCCAAGTGAGTGTTCCATAAATATTCAATGATTATTTTGAAAGATAGTCCCATATTACAGATTTACTATTTAATATGTCTTGTTTTTGTTTATTTTCCACCTTTATTGAGATATAATTGACAAAAATTATACATATTTAAGGTATACAACATAATGTTTTGATTACATGTACACATCATCAGATGATTATCACAATCAAGCTAATTAATATACCAATCCATCACATAGTTGCCTTTTTTTGGAGGGAACAATTAAAATCTACTCTTAGCAAATTTCAACTATATTATACACTATTATTAAATATAGTCACTATGCTGTTGGTTAGATCTTCAGAACTTACTCATTCCACAAAACTGAAACTTTGGACCCTTTGACGAAATATTTCTCCATTTCCTCTTCCCCGCCCCAGCCTTTGGTAACCACCATGGTACGCTGCTTTGACTTTCTTTTTTATTTCATATTTAAGTGAGATCATGCAGTGTTTGTTTTTCTGGCTTATTTTATTTAGCATTATGTCTTCCAGGTTCACTTATATTGTTGCAAATTACAGGATTTTTTTCTTATTTTAAGGGTGAATAACATTCAATTGCATATTTATACCACATTTTCTTCATCCTTTAATTCTTTGGCAGACACAGGTTATTTCTGTATCTTGGCTGTTGTGAGTACCGTATTTTCCAGCGTATAAGATGACTTTTAAAACGAAAAAAAGTCAACCGGGCTTTTTCAGTGGCCTGAATTCAGGTCTCAGTAGAGGGAACAGAGAAAAAGAGGACAGATAGAAAGCACCTCACTTGGAAATCTAGGATGGCACTATACCACCGCCCTAGCAGGCTTTTTACTAGAACACAGTGTAGCTTCGGGTACAGAACATGCATAATTTGCATGCATAAAAAGCCTGCTTGGATTGGCCAGAGTCAGAGAGGCGGTCTATTAAAAAAAGAACTGGTGTTGCCTCGAAAGTGGGGGGTAGTCTTATACAGCGAATACAGGCCTATACCTATGTTTTAACGGTAAAATTAGGGGATCATCTTATACGCCAGAAAATATGGTAATGCTTAATACAAATCTTTTATGGCAAGCTGGAATACTTAGGTTTCTTTTGTTATATGTATTTTTAGCAATATCTCAAAATCAGCCATTATAAGGAGTTCTTAGGCAAGGTTTAAAATACTCACAAGCATTTAACTTGCAATTATTAATAGTCTTTTGCCAGAATAATGTATGTAGCTAGCATATTTAAGGGGCAGAACACTAATGCCAACTTCAACTTCTTATTTTATTAAACTTGATTTTTACAAACTTATAAAATTATTAATACTTATGATGTAGTTGAAGGATAATTAGTAGAAATTAGTTTCCACTAATTATCTTTTTCATTTTATTTTGTAAGTTAAATCATGTGTTAGACTCAAACTAAAAGAACAAGATTTAGATTTGGTATCCACTTCTATATCTCAGGATTTAGATGTAGAAGTGTGTGTATGTGTTGGGGGTGGGAAATAGTTAGAAAAAAGCAGAAAATAAATATAGAATTTAGTAGATTATACTTTTTAAAATATTAACATTCTGTACCCCCCAAATAAATACCCTTTTCAAATTTACTTTGAATTAAAGTACAATACCTAAGCAAGCTATTGGAAATTTATTATCTACACTAATAAAAGAGTAAAATGCAAATTGACCATACCTTCAAGACACCCCACCAGCCAATCAGGAGTGGGTAGGCAAATTAACCCAACAAAGATGGCTGGCTAATTTGCATGTGCCGGCACTGAGAAGCTGGAGGTGTTCTGCACCACCCACAGCCACTCTGGGCCTCTGGACTATGTGGGAAAGCAGAAAGGCAGGTCTGGCTGGATTAAAGGCGGTGCCGGCAGCCAGGGGAAGGAAGGTCCATTCTTGCATGAATCTTCATGCATTGTGCCTCTAGTAAATTATAAAGCAGTTAAACAATCCTTTGAAATGGCAAATGGCAGCTCTGAGAGCAGGATTCAGCCAAATAGAAGGAACATTTTATGACTACACAAAAGACTGCAGAAATCACAATTCTATGAATAATGAGTTTACAGTGGAGCTAGTAGCTCCTCTTTGTATTTAGTTGCTCAGCTTGCCCATTACTTTGCTTAGTAATTGTGCTACTAGTATCTCTGATCAGGGATAAGAGGAAGAACAAAACAAAAAAAAAAAACAAAAAAACAAAAAAGGAAGGATTTATTTTTGGTACTTTATTTTTACAAAGTTTTGAGAAAAGGAAAATTAAATCTATAATTAAGGCCTGGAGGATTTTTCTTTGGTTTTTCAATTAGCCAAGTTATTGTGCTCTGTATTAACTTAACATGGATAATTGGAATTCAGCCTTAGCTATCAAGGAAGGTATTTGCAGTTAGATTAGAAGATGGGACAGAATTGTTTCAGATAATTATAAGGTATACTAGCAATATTTCTTAATAATCCTAGCCTTAGAAGTAGCTGCTCAAACTAGATTTAATGGTTCGTTGTTTATTTTTGAATAACAGTGTAGCTGTCTGTGGTTTATTTTACAATCTTTTGAAGGTATTTATTTTTTGCTATATAAGGGCTCCAGGGCCTGAGGCATTGTTCAGTGAGAGGACTCTGTGTTATTGATCAATCCAAAAGTGCATTTGTTTCTTTAAAATCTCTGTACCATGGCACAATTCCATTTCTGTTCAGGTCCAGAATATCTTAAAGGTTGATCAAGTCACTGGTTCATGTAAGCAATTATTTTCTGTTTCAAAATAAAAATAAATGCATTAGTAACCTAATCTTCAAAATAAGAGAAACCAAAATGATTTTAAAAGAAAATTTTCAATTTCAAAATATTAATATTTAAAATACTCAGTTTTTCTTGGAGAAAGGAAATTTTTTTTGACTTTGCTGCCACCTCATGGCTAAGGCAGTAATTAGCCATGATCCTTCAGGGGCTTATAAAAATTTATGCCAGGGGAAAAAGACCACGGAAAAGTCAGAAAATATGAGCTCTGTCTTGTTCATGAAGTAATATTTGTTGTTGGTGGTGTCTGTGATCTCAGTTTGGGATCTGAGATTCCTATCTTTGACTCACAATTTCATTTCAGCAATAACATAACATAGTTTTTTTGTTGCCTTTCTTATCTTTTTTGGTAGATTTTGGATTAGATAATTTTACAAAATCATTGTTCTTTAATAAGTAATAATATCCCCCCCATGGACACTGTATTTGTATCTCAGCTCTACTGCCAGCAGCAGCACTGAGATCAGAGCAAATTACTTAAACGCTGTCCCAGTTTCCTCAGATGTGAAATCAAAGTAGTAACATCTACCTAGTTTATAAGCTTGACGTGCAAATTAAATAAGATGATGTATTTAAATGGTTTGGTATAGTGTCTGACCTGGTAATCACTCACTATGAAGTATGTCAAATGTTCAGTAAGTATGCTGTTAGGAACTTAGTTGTATAAGCTTAAATACATATTATGGGTAAATCAGTTTTATAGATTTAAATTTAATTTGAAAAAGGCCAACATTTTAAAAGTGATTCATGCTCAAATTTCACATCAGACTGATATTTCTCACCACTGAACCTGCCCAGATAGAAGCCGTGGAGCGTAGTGTGCTGTTAAATCACGGTGAGGGCCATAGATGCAAAGCTGCAGCATCTCCCTGACAGCTGGCCCCAGCTGTTGGACGTCTGAAGGGACTGTGTCCATTTTTCCTTAAGAGCTCAGTTTGCTTTACTTCCTCTGGCAGGAATGCAAGTCATTGCACGGAGAGTATGTGGGACGCGCCTGCGGCCACGAGCACCCATACGTTCCAGACGTTCTGTTTTGGTCCGTGATCCTGTTCTTTTCCACGGTTACTATGTCAGCCACCCTGAAGCAGTTCAAGACCAGCCGCTATTTTCCAACCAAGGTACTTAGACTACAGTCTTCTGGATTGAAACATAAACCTACCTAAAGCAGGTTATGAAGGCATAAAAAAGAAAAAAGCAAGTTATGAAGGCATACATGTTTAGAGAAAAAAGAAAGAGCACTTGCTGTGATAAACGGATCCACTAAAAAGCTTTAGTGTGAGCAGGCTGCCAGGGTCCGAGTGGAGGTAGCAGAGGAGGGAGGGGAAGGAAAAGCATTTTGAGACAGGTGCTGGAAGTGCACATGAACCCCAGGCTTCTCCTTCAAATCCCAAAGATCAGCTCCCACTTGCCCACTTCCGTTTTTGGAAATGGAAAGTGCACACTGCAATAGTGACTGTCACTCTCTTCAGTGAACAGTGGGAGCTGTTCCAGCCTGACAGATACCTCCTTGGAGCCACTGCCACACTCTAACTGGGAGAGCCCCTGCAAAGCCCATTGGAATTCCATTCTCTTACATTTCAAAGTGTCAGTCCCTCCCCTAACCCACCATGTTTGCATCTGCATATTTGGAAAGGAAAGTAAACACAGCTTAGTTCAATATTTAACACTGCCAAGTAACACCTATAATGTCTGACTCAGCCAATAGAAAACAAGAAAACAAGCTTTTTAAGGATGAGCTGATGATTATAACAAAAATTCCAGCCTGGGAAAAATGTTTCAAGAAGTGTTTCTTCTGCAGAAAACTTCAGTTTTCGTCACCTCCTTCTGTAAGATGGAAGGTCTATTTCTCTCCCTTGAAAGTCTAATTTGATTAAATTATTTTTGTAACTTGAAACAATAATCTCCTATATTTTTGTGTGTGTCATAAAGGCATCCTAATAAAGAAGCCAGATCTTGGTGATCATTGCATTAGGATTTTCGCTGAAAGATGGCTTTATACATGAGATGGCTTTAAAACTGGCTTACACAGAAGAACTTTTAATTTTTTCTGCTTTGTTGTAGCATTCCTTGCTGCCATTCTGATATCCCAGATATACTAACTAAAATACTATGCTTCTTTAATAAAAACTAGATTTTATTTTATGGTGCTTCAAGTTTATCATTAAAATGTTGCCTATGTGAGAAAGAGTCCTAAAATGTAGCCAAATTCTGGCCTTGCAACCTTATTCTATGTTCTAAATATTCACGCACTTAGCTTCATAATAAACTTAGATTTTAAATAAAAATTAAAATAGCACAATAACCATTACAGCAATTTCTCAGTGCCTCTTTCTGGAAAGGTTGAGTATGTAGCCATCTTAATGACATTTACATAAATATACATTCAGGTTCTGACAGAGCTAATGATAATATTCTAGTATGCATAGCATATAATATTGTGATGCTACGTCATAAAGTTTTTGCAAAGAAAGATTATGTTCCTGAGTATTCCTGTCTATTTATAGTTTCTTCAGGTGACAGATGTTTTCATTATTTTTAGGTTCGATCCATAGTGAGTGACTTTGCCGTCTTCCTTACAATTCTTTGTATGGTTTTAATTGACTATGCCACTGGGATCCCATCTCCAAAACTACAAGTACCAAGTGTTTTCAAGGTGAACTTACAGCATTTTCTATTTACTTCTTCTTCTCTGTGGGCCAAATCTTCACTTAGACAATGGCTAGAAACCTAGAACTTGGGGTTTTGATGAAAATATAAAGCTATAGATTAGTAAAATGCCCATTAGTATGACTAAAACTTTGGTCTACTATTTTTAAAAAAAATTAGGAACTACAGAAGTAGAATCCTGTCAATTCTCTTTGACAATATTTCCTGTCAATTTTGCCAGTTGAAATATTTATATATAAGACTCCTAAGAGTTAAGGAAGCATTTTGAAACTAAGGGAATTGCATTATCTTGATGCAGAATTGCCCAGTGAATAGTATTTAAAAATAGGTCTAAAACAGAATTCTGTGTGACCCTTGTTGAGTTCCTTAAACTTGATTTTTCTTATCTATCAAACAGAGCTACGGACTTCCTCATAGAATTATTGTCAAAAGACTTCCTCTGGGAGGGATTCATCTCAGGCACCAGCCATGTTTAGAACCCTCCCCTGAACCCTTAATGTCACCAATTGTCTTTTTGCTGTTTTCAGATAATGGCCTGTGCATACATCCTTTTTAAGGATGAGCTGATGATTATAACTAAAATAAGGTTTCACACAGTTGTCAACTGTAAAAATTAATATTTCTGTAAATATATATATACACACACACACACACACACACATATACACACACACACACATACTTGCCAACTGGAAATGGTAAATATTATTTTATCTAATATAGGTATTGATTAAGAACACAGATTTTTGAGCCATTCAGAGTTTAAATCCTGTCTCCAGCACTTATTAGCTTTGGGTTTTTGAGCAATTTGTTGGATCTCTCTATGTCTCAGTTTTTTAATCTGTACCTCCTTATTTGTTGCCAAGGAAAGAATGAATTAAAATATGCAAAGCACTTGGAATGGTGCTGGTACCTTATAAGTGCTTTGTAAACATTAATGTTATTCATTATTATTATTAATGTAAACATTAATATTATTCACTCAGCATATCAGTTTATAATTAGGGTTTTCCTGGAAGCATCTGTAAAATTTAATTTGATTAGGTATTCATTAATTTAGCTCATAACTATGTACATTCTTTTATTTTTCACAGCCCACCAGGGATGATCGTGGCTGGTTTGTTACACCAGTAGGTCCAAATCCATGGTGGACAGTAATAGCTGCTATTGTTCCAGCTTTGCTGTGTACTATTCTAATTTTTATGGACCAACAGATTACAGCTGTCATAATCAACAGAAAAGAGCATAAGCTAAAGGTATAGTTTAACATTGGTTTTAATGTAAATTATTATGACTTGACTGACATCAATTGATGTTCATTATACTTTATATTCTGTAGTCAATTGTATAATGAAATATTAAAGTAATGCTTTCAAGTTCACACTTTTTATTGTTTTTATTCAGGATATTCTGAATTACAATAAACTTAAAGTTAATTGTTTTTAGTTAATTGATTAACTAATTAATCAATAATACTTGGCTGAGTTCTAAACTCTGAAACCTTATCTTCAGAGTTTAAAATAAAGACAGTGCCTAAATTCTAACATTCTTTACCATGTTTAACATATTTTAATGAAATAATCTATTCTGGTGAAGTGCATCTTTACCAATTTATCTTACTTGGGGATTTCTTTATTTTTTTATATAACCCTAAATATGTCTATTAGATTACATTTATTATTGGAACAAATTACATCTTCAGATATTTCTTGTTTTTTTTCTTGTTTTTGTTTTTGTTTTTGTTTTATTCCTCTGTCTATAATGCCCATGACAAAACAAACAAACAAACAAACAAACACACACACACACACAAAAAAAAAGAAAAACCAGTTATAAATGTTATAGACTGTACGTGACACCTCTATTGAGTTTTATTGCAGATTTTAATGCCTTTCTTTTTTACAAAGAGAATGAATATGGATATGTTTTATATTCTGACGCTGCCATTTTGCAACTGAGAATAATCAAAGTTGTTTATTGGTATACAATTTGTCTGAGATATGTAATCTGAGTGCTATCACTTATAAGAACATGTTAAATAAAATCAAAGTCATTGAATGGTTACAAGTTATCTAAATCAATTCTTCTAAAAACAGAACATGCACAATCTTGTTTTGTTTGGAATCATGTACATACTCTAAACTCTAGAAAAAGGTTCATTGTCAGAGCAACAGAAATCATGCTCCAAAGGATTTATAAGTACGTTTGTTAGAAAGATTAAGATCTCTGATTGAAATATTAGATGGTAAGTAGTAAAAACATAAATGTAAGAAAACAATGATTTGTAATAAATCTTGCTAAAAAATGAATTTCCTATATATAATGGAGAGTGTGTCTATCTTAAAACAAAGAGCATTCTTCATTCTCTTTGTAAAAAGTAACTTAAGAGTGCTCACAACTTTTTTGAAAGTTCATTAAATTCACTTGTTTTTGTCAAATAAAATCTTAATTATTAAGGATATATTTTACAAAAACATTTCATAAAGTTATAGGAACTAGACCAGTGGTATGCTGATATATGTTTAACAACCAGTTCTCTGCATTTAAAAAAGAGAGAGATCTTGGTTTACTATATATGAGAGATTTTGGTTTACTACATATTACTTTAATAGTATGAACGCCTCATCACCGCCTGGCTCATTTTATGCTGCCAGTGTGACAACAATTGGCAGGAAAAAATTTTTGAAAATTAAACAATTGGCTCTGGTAGCCTATATGAGCTGGCTCCCAAAACATCGCTGAACTACACAATTCAGTATTAGAAACGGAAACATTGACAGTCCTCAAAACAAGGAATTCAGACTCCCAAATTTAATAGCCTACTTACTTAATATCAATCATTCAAAAGTATTTGCTTTTAAAATATTAACCTTCTGCAAAAGCAAATGTCACCACTACCTAATTATTAATGTTATATAGTTGCTTAAATAGATCTATAAAACAAGTGTAACTACTTTATATTGAATAATTTTAGCCTGCTACTCTCTAAGAAGTAGGAAAACATTTTTCCTAGACACCAGTTATTTTTTAAAGCTGAAAATGCCTATATTTTTTCATGATCAAGAAACGTATGATTTTAGTTTTTCAAAGTTAAAAGAAAAAAGTGGAAAATACTATTATTTCATTACCTAGAGATAACTTCATTAACATTTTTATAGATACCCAAGCATATATTTTTATTCTACATATGTCACTTGCATTTTTTTCACATAAGATCATTATCATGGAAATCATCCAATGTCAACAATGCAAATCTGCATTATCATTTTATTTTTTAGTATTTATTATTGAAATATGTTCTGTTTCCCCCCTATTGACCCCTTCTAGCCTGTCCCCACCATTCTCCCTCCCCCACAGGCATTCACCACCCTATTGTCTTTGTCCATGGGTTATGAATATATTCACACAAGTTCTTTGGTTGATCTCTTCCCACCCATCCACCCCTGCCTTCCCTCTGAGATTCCACAGTCTGTTCCATGTTTCTGTGTCTCTGGATCTATTTCGTTCATCAGTTTATTTTGTTCATTAGATTCCACATATGAATGTGATCTTATGATACTTGTCTTTCTCTGACCAGCTTATTTCATATAGCATAATTCTCTTCAGGTCCTTCCATGCTGTCTCAAAGGGTAAGAGATCCTTCTTTTTTACTGCTGCATAGTATTCCATGGTATAAATGTACCACAGCTATTTTATCTACTCATCTAGTGATGGGTACTTGGACTGTTCCCAGATCTTAGCATGTAAGCTTAATAAATTGTGCTGCTATGAACATAGGGGTGCATACATTCTTTCTGATTGGTGTTTTGGGTTTCTTAGGATATATTCCTAGAAGTGGGATCACTGGATCAAATGATAGTTCCATATTTGATTTTTTGAGGAAACTCCATACTGTTTTCCATATGAATCTGTATTCCTACCATCAGTGTACTAGAATTCCCTTTTCTCCACATCCTCACCAGCACTTGTCATTTGTTGATTTGTTGATGGTAACCATTCTGACAGATGTGAGGTGATACCTCATTGCCATTTTAATATGCATCTCTCTGATGATCAGTGACTTTGAATATTTTTTCATATATCTCTTGATCATGTATATGTCCACTTTGGAGAAATGTCTATTTAGGTCCTTTGCACATTTTTTAAAAATTGGATTGTTTGTCTTTCTCTTGTTAAGTTGTATGAGTCCCTTGTATATTTTGGATGTTATCAGAGGTATCATCGCCAAATATGCTCTCCCATAGAGTGAGCTTCCTTTTCATTTTGTTAATGTTTTCTTTTGCTGTGCAGAGATTTTAATTTTAATGTAGCAGGATACAAAATTAACAGAAATCTATGGCATTTTTATATATCAACAATGAATTCTCAGAAAGAGAAACAAAAAAAAAAACAACATAAAAAAACCTATTTACCATTGCAACAAAAAATTAAGATACTTAGGAATAAACTTATCGAAGAAGGTAAAAGACTTGTACTCAGAAAACTATAGAACATAGAAAAAAGAGATAGAAGAAGAGATAGGGAGAATATACTGTGTTCATGGATTGGTAGAATTAACATAATTAAAATGTCCATTCTACCCAAAGCAATCTATAGATTCAATGCAATCCCTATTAAAACACCAATGGCATATTTCAAAGCTTTAGAACAAATACTCCAAAAATTTATATGGAACCAAAGAAGACCCTGAATAGCTGCAGCAATCTTGAGAAAGAAGAACAAAATTGGAGGTATCACAATACCAGATATAAAGTTATACTACAAAGCCACTATAATCAAAACAGCCTGATACTGGCACAAGAACAGGCATATAGATCAAGAACAGAACAGAAAGAGACCCAAGCCATTATGCTCAATTAATATTTGACAAAAGAGGCAAGAGCATACAATGCAGTCAAAACAGTTTCTTCAATAAATGGTGTTGGGAAAATTGGACAGATACATGCAAAAAAATGAAACTAGACCACCAACTTACACCATACACAAAAATAAACTCAAAATGGATAACATACTTAAATGTAAGTCGTGAAACCATAAAAATCCTAGGCAGGAATATCTCAGACATCTCTTGTAGCAATATGTTTGTAGCTACATCTCCTAGGGCAGAGAAAACTAGGGAGAAAATCAAAAAGTGGGGCTGCATTATAATTTTAAATGTCTGAATATATATTTCATTATATGACACACTAGAGGCCAGGTGCACGAATTCGTGCACCATTAGGATCCCTTGGCCTGGCCTGCGGGATCGTGCTGGAACTGGCTCTCTGATATCCCCCAAGGGGTCCCGGATTACAAGAGGGCACAGGCCAGGCCAAGGGACCTTACCAGTGCATGATCAGGGCCAGGGAGAGATGCAGGAGGAGGTTGGCCAGCTGGGGAGGCACAGTGGGAAGGCTCCAGGACATGTCTATCCCATCTCTCTCAGTCCAGGATTGGCCAGACCCCAGCAGCAAGCTAACCTATCGGTTGGAATGTCTGCCCCCTGGTGGTCAGTGCACATCATAGCGAGTGCATATCATTAGCATATTACGCTTTGATTGGTTGGTGGAATGGCCTACTGGTCGACCAGACACTTAGCATATTGGGCTTTATTATATAGGATGTTATAAATTAGACAAATAGATCATATTTTAAGAGTAAAATAAGTTGTGTAATCATTGCTTCCTTTCAAAGGAAAATATTTTTAAAAAATATATTTTATTGATTTTTTACAGAGAGGAAGAGAGAAGGATAGAGTTAGAAACATCGATGAGAGAGAAACATTGATCAGCTGCCTCTTGCACACCCCCTACTGGGGATGTGCCTGCAACCAGGGTACATGCCCTTGATTGGAATCGAACCTGGGGCCTTTCAGTCCATAGACCAATGCTCTATCCACTGAGCCAAAGCAGTTTCGGCAAAGGAAAACATTTTTTAAGTCTTTATATTTAAGCAGGAATTCCACAAATTTCACTGAAAAATTATTCTTTTTAAAATTATCAGCTAAATTGATGGAGGCAGTATTTTTTTCTAAATATTAGTGGACTCATATTAAAACAAAAAGTAGAAGTAAGTGAAGATTTGCTGCGGGTGGCCATTCTTTTTTTGCCATTCTCTGTCGTTACTCTTTCCCAGTCTCTCAGAATTATAAATCACACAGCACTTCTTCCTGTTCTTAATGAGCCTGTGGTTGGCCCTTGACATTCACCATCTTTGCTAAACTTCAATTTGATGTATTTCCTTCTTTGCCTATCATGTAGCTAAAATATAATAAAGC